CTTATTAAATATATATATAGTATATGTATATTATACTGTAAAATTAAACTATAATTAAATAAAAGAAACACAATTAAGAGATTATCTTAATATTAAAACAAAAAGGTTATAGAATTCATTAAAACTCTTAATTAATTAAATTTATTATCTATTTTATTATTTATAAGTTTAAATCTTTAACAAATCTAATATACTTTAAGAACTAATTTAATCTAAACTTTATCTTATTTAAAATTTTCAATTTACAACTTTATTTTGTTTAAAAACCAAATATAAAATCTTCTAATTTATAAAAAAAATTATTATTTCTATTAAAAACTGTTTTTATTTAATAATTTAAAATATAAAAAAATTTGTTTATTTAGTTCAAATTATCATTACTTAGCTAACTTTTTTAAAATTATTAGAGATGATATAGTAACTTAGAGTATTAGTTAAATTGTCACACTCTAAGCATCAAATCTAGAGTTTAAATCTTACTAGAAATGTTTTGGAAAAATAGATATATATATTAGTAATATTTATTTAACAATTAGTTGGTTATATCATCTGTAATTTTAATATTACTATTTCGAAATAAAAACTTTTAGGTGATCTAAATCTAAGAAACTAGAATATTTGAAATCTATTTGACAAAACCTTAACAAAGAAGTAATGAAGATCTTTGACAATACTGCAAAAGACCAGCACCAAAAACCAAAGAACTAAACAAAAACTCTAAAACAAGAAAAGTTTACTAACCTAATTACTGAAGTTGTATTAGAAAAAAAAGATTCTATATTATAAAATTAAGAACCAAAGAAAATAAAATCAAAAGGCACTTAAAGCCTAGATACAATAATCTATTTAGAATAACTGGTTTGGTAATTAGAGAGAAATCAGTATAAGGACTAGTTTGATACAAATATTGGAATCAAAATAAACTTTGTAAAAGCACAAATACTAAAATTGTGCAATTTAACAATTAGCTCTAATTGTTAGTAGTAATTTTAACTATTGCAGAAAGTATTTGAAGCCTAATCTGAAAATGTGTAGAATATAGAAAGATTAGTAGATATATACTACATCTCCTCTAAGGTAACTTGATAGTATAAGAATCTGATTGAGTTATCTATAGAAATAGAATACAAGTAGTATAGCAGATGTCAATCTAAGTGGTCTTTAATTAAAGCAGCATAAAATTATATGCTGGCATGATTGTGATGATAATACAGAACAAAGGCATTAGAAAGTTTAAATAACTAATCTCCTAGTTAAATTACAGATATAGCATCTAGTGTAGAACCTTTGGGCGGACTACTTAAATAGACAACCAAAAGTTGCACATGTGGCTAAATGTACTTCACCTTCATTCGATATTGCAAAGGTTTAAAAAAAAAATATATATATTAGAGATTATTTTTAAATCAAAACTAAAAATGATGTTATTTGCATAATATATATTTTTAAAAAATGCTTTAAAATATATAAGTTATCTAAGTAATTGATTTGCATTAGCCAATCAGATTAATTTCTGCTTGTGAAATTAGATAATCTTCTTTCTATATGAGTGTCGTCAAAGGAAAACCTACAAGCTTGCTTTCAATTATATTTTGTCTATCGACAATCTATCATCTGACTTTCAATCATATTTTGTGTGATAGATTGTCGATAGATGACCAACTGTACACAAAATATAATTGAAAGCCAGATTGTAGGTTTTCCTTTGACAGCACTCATATATAAGAATAGCAGTTTTAAAGCAGTGCAAACAATCTTAAAAATGTATTATATTACTTTAGCTTGCTAATATTAATAGTGGGTTGGCTTACAGGTGAACTACAGGTAGACCCGTGAATTGAATCACGGGTATACCCACGGGTCAACGCGTACAAGCCTACCCGGGTAGACATAATCACAACCTGGATACCCGACCCACCAGATATACCCAGGTTAACCTAACCCGGGTTTAATCAATAGTATATATATAATGGGTAATTACAGTAATATAACAAAACTCTTAAATAGGTAACCATATATATTCTTGTCAAAATGTAGTGTGTAGGGCCTCCAGAGGCATTAGTAACTCAATACACTAATAGAATCGATAAGCTAAAGAGGATAGATAGCTTTGATTAGAAAAAAATACCATATATATTATTTATAAACATTTTATTATAATATTAAATCATACTATATATATACTTTAATATTTTTTGCTAGTAAAATTTAGGATTAGAAAACTTAAACTATAGAAAGATATAGGTTTAAATTTAGTTACGGCGAGATTTTGAAATGCGCTAAATATTTTTGCTTAGTATATCCAACATTGGTTATTTAGCTATATAGGTTTTGAAATATAGCAATTGTGGTGTTAAACACCATTGGTGTAGGAATGCTAACGGCTTGAGCCGGCTTGTATATTTATTATTATAAAAACCGATTAATAAATAGAGTCAATTGAGTCGTTAGCATCCCTACACTAGTGTATTTAGTAAACCCGTAAATTTGAATATAAATAAAACTAAAAAAATTGATTTTTTTGATATATATACACAGTATTATATCTAATAAATAATAACGAATATTTAAAAGATAAAATTTAATTTTAAATATATAAAATATATATATATATATAATATAATATATACTGTATATATATATATATTGTATAAATTTATTTTTTAAAAAATTGTATTTGTGTTGTTTTAAATATTATGTCAATAAAAATTTTAAACAGATTATACTGTAATATTTTAGTTAAAGCCAAAATTTACTAAAATTTGAACACCAATAGAGTAAAGAAATTTAGTAATAATTGTTTTTTTTTAAACTTGGCTTTTTTATGTACGTACATATTGTAAAAACAGTATGAAATTCCATTTATTATTTACTAATTGGCATATAAATCACGAATTAATGCATAAAAATTGAACCAATTATAAAAGTAGCTATTGAAAACTTTGTGCACATATTTTATTTGAACTGGTTCAAAGCATAAACAAAGCTAAGCCGTAAACCGAGCAAGAGCGTAAAGTTAGGTCTCACCTTGCTAAACCATAATTAAGCCATTATATTTGTGAAACAGATCAGATAACTTGATACTAAAAAGAGTGCACCACAATACGTCTCATGTGTTACATATATTAATGGGATATATATTTATATTCCAGTTTTTTAGTCGATTAGTACACTTATTTATCAATACCATTATTCCATTTTTGAAAATAATTAACCGCCGTTATTATGTAATAGCGAATTTTAAGTAGTACAGAAAAAGAGAAGCCTCTTATTTGATGTAAGAATACATTATCTTCAACTTAAGATTAACGAATTTAGCAAAGTGGATGTTGAAAACATGAGTGGACTCATACAAAATTTATTGCTTTATATGCAAGACGTAGATAAAGGCAGATAATTGATAATATTCAATTACAGATGAAGTAATCAATACTACTTATACGCACTATCGCAATAAATTCATCAAACTTAAATATTACGGAATAAAAAAAAAAAGAAATGATTTTAGCACACCACCACACCACGTACCAATTTCAGATGGTTGTCGAAGAGGATTAGGACTAGCGCAATTTATGAGGACAGCCTTCCGACCATATATGTAGTTCTACCTCTGCACTAACTATATAATTGAATTGCAAGATCGAATGATCGAATCCCCAGACAGACACCCCAAACTTTAAGATCTTTCTGATACGCCTTCAGTCAATTTTTTTTTTTCCTTGATTGTTAGGAGAAAAAAAAAATCGATTTGGATTTTTTTTAATGAAAAAACTTGTAATAAACCTGTAATAAATTATATAACAAATTATATTTAACCTTAAAAAATTTAGGAAATTTAGAAATTCTGTAACAAATTTCAATGAAAAAAATGGAGATATTTGTGATAATTCAAACAATAATACCTAATGCATAAGAATTACACGCCGATATTTAACACAAGGCACACTCTTCTATCGTTAGACTTTTATAAACATCTCGACCCAGACCAGATTAATCGTCGCTAAAAGGAAATTTAATGAATACCCCGCCAATTTCACAATTTCGGGGAAATGGATTCTGAAAAAAAAAAAAAAAAAAAAATTCTTGCATGAATTCAATGTAACACAATGAATAGGCGTTTAGTCTAGTGTTGACAATCTAATGTTTATTCGAATTATAGATATAGTGCGACTAAATTGTTACTGGCTAGGTTTAATGTAACACACCGAGGACTTGTTTCTACAAATACTAATAGTAACGTACAATAACGATAATATTTGATCTTTATAAGTAATGTCGTGAGATGGAGTACAAGAAATTGTTAACATACAGCGATCTTGCCGGACAAAAAAAAAAAAAAAATTATTATTTGTAAAATTATTTGTAAAATTATTATTTGTAAATTATTATTTGTAAATTTTAAAATAATTCATTATTGATTTTATTATAATAATAATATATTTACTTTTTATACTATTGCTTGTGCGATAGTATTTTGAAACTAGAGAATGTTGATATTTACTTTTTATATTTTTTATGCTACTCTAGATTTTTTTGATAATCTGCGGGAGAATATATATACAAATGCTAATACATACTAGAAAGTATGAGCTCGGGTTACCACGTGACCATATCGCATACACAAATTTCCCAAGTTGACTTTATGGCACGAAGCCAAAGGAAGAATGTTTTTAGAATTCACATGAAAAAAATATGCAGGAATTGACCAAATCAAAAATCCGAAGAACTACTCCATTCATAATCACTGGATTCATCATCAAGCATTCGCCTAATTATTTTTTTGTTTTCTTTTTCAATTTCTTTATCGTTTCCTACGATATCAATTTCTTCTTCACCTTCACTCTCACTAGACTCACTATCACTTTCTTTAATTAATTTATTATCATTTTTTTCGTTTGTATTCGATTTTACATTATGGTTGTCAAGATTTTTAGCAACATCTTTAATCAACGGGAAGAAAACTGCATTATCTGTAAATATTTAATAAATAAAGGGACAAATTAGGCAATTTGTGAAACAAGGATATAATATAAGTGATAATCTAGATTGTATAAAAACTTACACCAATTAACGTAAGCCTCCAACTGAGTTGGATAAATGTCAAAATTTAGGTCAATTATGCCAATCCAAAAATCGAATTGAGGTTTCCCCAGCCACCAGTCAAATATAAGGCTAATATTAGTAAGTTGGGTGTATAATTCAGGATCATAGACTAAGCTTTCAGTATAATGACTCATTTCGTAACCTAAAGGCTGCCTCCATATTGGAGTCATGAACATTTGATTTCTTTTAGACCATAGATCGTTAATGGTATGAACATAAGCCGAAAGGGCTGTAAAATCAAAGATTCCTTTAGCATGAGGACCAGGTAAGTCGATCAATTTATCAATGATCTTGCCGATCTGTTTTAGCTTCGGTTCCAAGCTGACCAACATGGGAATGTCATCGGTATAATAACGTAAGTCCCTTAGTTGGTCGAAAGTTTGTAATAAACTGTAATATGGATGGTTTTCATCTTTTATATCGCAAGCACGAAATTCGTCAGGTAAATATTTTAATTTCCAATGACGGTGTGGTAAGTCAGCGATGGTCCAGGCTTGATGTGACATGTTTGAAGAGCAACAGTTGAGTAGAAAACCACCGAAAACAGGATTTACATATAAGGCTTGCGAACCTTCTTCGTTACCGAAGGCAGTTTCAATCATTAAAGGTTGGAAAACGTTTTCCTGAAGGAAGTTTAGTTGTGCCTGAAAGTTCTAAATTTATACTTGACACTGAGTTACACCTGTTTGTGCAACATTAACAACATTATCGCCATCAGAAGTTCAAACAGGTAATTACTTATGATTTTGTCAAGGGCTTGGGGTTTCCAGGCTTTGAGAAGACGCCCATGTGGAGATTACCGCATTGATCTGTGAAACATTGACTTCCCTTATTATTAGCTTTGACATTACGCAAGTTTTTACATTGTCTAATTTATAGGAGAAACAGTTTTAAGTCTCCGATTTTCTTATTGTCATCGTTTGAATTGTGTTTCAATTTGAATCCCGAATTCCCAGCATACCGATATCGTCTAAACAAATCAAACTGTTGATCTACATAAACAGATAAAGTTTATCTTTTAAGATTGGTCAAATGCAGCACCTGCGGTCAACATGTCAATGCTTTCTAAAAGATCATATATGAGTAGAAAGAAAACACCCTATTACTATATAGGGCCAGACCATTAAAAAATGTAAATATCCTACAACTTGTCTTATGAAATATAAGTCTTCCTTTTAGAATCCTTTTATAATCCTTTTATAATTATCATAGATGTACTGTATTACTGATGTATTATTGGCTTAGCAATTCAGCAATTCTCAATTCCTAGCAGACAAACTGCTTGTATGATTGTGTGAACAAAAAAATATTATGAATTATCTTAATATGACTTTTTATCTTCCTTTTGGTTTATTACTTTCAAATGCTATCGCTATTGTTGAATTTTTTTAAGATGTCTACTTTCATACTAATTTCTGTGTGCAACGGTTTCATTAGTACAAATTATACAAATTCATTCTTATGTATACAGATTTTCAACAAGATTTTCATTATTGTGCATTCCTACGCTTTTATTCAGATCTGTTGGAAATGATGCACAACATATTACAACATATTACGATAGATTGAAATAAATAGAGTTAAAGTTTTTGATATCTTAATTAGCCCTGCCCTGTAACCTTGGATGCCTAGGATACTATTCTTAATTAGGTTTGATTGTTCCGTTATTGATCTATAGAATTTATAATCATGATTTAATAGGCCAAATTGATTCCGGAGTAGGATTCTTTTGTTCCGAGTTAGATTTGGGCTTCGTCAAAGTTTTCTTTAAAAAAACGATCAAATTTGATTTTAAATTCTGTTATGCGTAAATATAACTGTAAAATCTTACGAAACTAATGTAACCTCTTTAATTGAACCGAAGTGTTACATAGCTTCGTTAAACCTTTCGAAATTTTTATTTGATTATTTGCTCATGTAGGGAAATTATCAAACTTAAATTTGAAACTTTAGTGTTAGATTTTTTATGCAATTATAATCTAAATAAATTGTTTAGATAAATTTGATGGATATACCGTGTATATATATATATATATTATATATATATATTATATTGTGTGTACTGTATATTTTCGCTATCAGTTTTTTTTTAACTACTATTCCAAAGTAATACAGTCTAACCTTAATATGGTTATTCTTGATAAGTATAATCATGTATTATAAAGATATTATACTACGTATATATTGTTGTTTTGCTAATTATTCTAAATCATAAAAAAAAAGTTAACTTCTATATAGATACTATCGCTAAAATGTTGGACAGTCGGGTCTAAATAGATTACAGTCTTAAAAAAAACTGGGTTGTTTTTAGTCTTAAAACCAGTTTGGTCCAAACTAGTTTAAATATATTTAAATTATTAAAAATATATTAAATATAAAATATTTTTTAGAATTTTCAGGATTGTCACGTTTACTATGTTTGTACTTTTTTTTATTTTTCTATTGTAAATTTTTAGTATTAAATTTCACTAATTAAATATAAAAATATTTTAAATTTATTACTTTATTAATGCTTTAACAATATATGTTTAAATAATTACAAATTAATATTAATAAAAAATATTTTTTATATAAAGACAAAAAATTAAGCTTTTGTTCTATTGTTATATTTGTCAACACTAATAATTTTAGATCTTTTGCAGTATAGATAACATCTATTCTAAATCAATCGATTAATTAATATCTATTATCTACTTTATACTACAAAAAATTTATAATTTTATATATTAAATTTGTAAAAAAAAAATTTAGATTATTTATTTTTTTTTATAATTCAGCAATCCTCTATTTATTTTGAAATTAAGCTTTTCAAGATTTATATATCCTTTTATAGCTATTGCTAATTTAATCAAAATAGAAACTCACCCACGGCTTTTGCCCAGATGCGGCCTGCTTCAGTAGCTATTTGACTTTCTCTAGGTCCTTAACTTACTAAAAACTTTTTTTTCTTCAGTTATGGGCTGGTGGTTGTCCAACTATCTATTTATATTTATATTTTACAATGTAATTGCGTTTTGGCCATGACCAGTATTTGCAAACAATGTAAAACATTGAATCACTAATTCTATAATAAGATTATTACATTGTATGTTTTTTATTCTATTTATTATACCTAATTTAATACTACTCAAACTTCTATTTATCTGTCTATAATCACCTTCTTTATCTTTTTATTATCTTTTTCTTTTCCTTATTGGTAATCTGCTTTTGCACTTTGGTCTTCTGTTCTTCTTTTTGTATTTTTTCCAATTTTTCAACTTTGCTTTGTCATTCTTCATGCTGATAGTCTTTATTCTATATGTTTTTTCTAAGAGCATCTTTTTGTAAGTCTTCATTTTTCTTAGTTTCACTACTATTACTTTGCTTTTTTTACTTCTGCATCTTAATTAATCTATTCAAGTCTTTTTTTTCTCTTTCTTCAAACTGAATATCTGCTTTCTCTTTTTTACTCTATAGGCTTGTTTTCTTCTGAAAGACTTCTTGTGTATTCTGTTATATTTCTCTTGATTTTTAACTACTTTCTATAAGATTCTTTTTGTTATTTTAAGTATAATATTTTTTTTCTTTTCTAATTCTTAACTTTTGTCATTTTTCTTGTTGCTGCTTTTCTAAGAAGTTTATTCTATAGGCTCTTTCTAAGAGTATTCTTCTGTAAGTTTTTTCTATTTCTAATTTTTAATAATGCTCTTGATTTCTTTGTTTCTATACTGTAACTAATCTATTTAGATTTCTTTATCTTTTTTTTTAGAATGCAACTTCTTCCTTATTTCTTATTCTCTTGAACTTTTTCTTTGAGACTAAGTATTTTCTTTATATTTCTCTTTTTATATATTCATTTTCTTCTAGTAAATTTCTCTCAAATTTTAATATGCTTCTTTTGTTTTCCTAACTTTTTTGCTATTATTTATTTTATTATTTTATATATAATATCTTTCTTTTTCTTTTTTCAATTTTTGTTTTCTACTATTTTTCTTGATGTTATATTTTGTAGAAGATTTCCTTTATTCATATCAGTGACTATTTGATATCTAGTTTATACATATTAACAAACTTATTTTAGGTTTTGGGATATGAAATTAAAATTTAAAGACAAAATTGTTTTTGATCTATTTAATTAAAAGATAAAAATTTTTGATACTTTTTTTAAAGAGACAAAATTATAAAGAATTTAACTACCTAAATTAGATTTGCTCTTGCATATAAAAAATTCTAAATTGCTTTAATGGAGATGAAATAAGGTTTTTTTGAAAACCTATTTCAGTGGTATATATAATCTAGTTCATCTATTTCACTTTCTCAATAATTTTTTTCTTCTTTTTTCAGTTTTAATGCTGTATGCTTTCTATACTTGCTTGATATATAGTTTTCATTATTCAATATGCTATATTCTTTTGTAAGATTCTATTTTGTATATTGTCAGGTTTTTTATCTTCTGCTGTAATTATTGCTACAATTCTTGATCTTAATTCTTCTACTATCTTATTGAGAATTTTCTTTTTTTTAAGTCTTTTAATATCTCTTCTTATACTTCTTGTTTGGATATTTTCTTTATTTCTTTATTACCTTGTTATTTTTGGTTTAAAATTTTTGCTTTCTGTTGAACTTGTATCTTTTTTTCTTCTCTTTATTCTTTCCTTTTTTGTATATTGTTTTATTACAAATATTTTAACAAATTTTTTAAAGTATTATAATACTAAATTCTAATGCTATTTTATTATACTGCATTTGTTAGTTTTTTTTGTTCATCTAGTCTTTTAATCTATTCTGTTTCTATTCTAGACCTTGTATATATATATTTAACAGCTAGTCTTTCTTTACTATATATAATCTATCTTGCTTTTTCTGTTATATATAGGTTTCTTATAGTTTTAGTTATTTTTTCTACTATAATATAATATATTTCTCTAGATCAATTTCTTTTTTTTTTTTTTTAATTTTTTACTTCAGCGATCCTTTCTTTATTTTATAAATCGGCAATAGAATACAAATAGATATTCAATTTAACTAAATCTACATTATCCTCCATAAACTATTAATGCCTGTCCAAATAAAAAATCTCTCGATCTATCTCGTTATCGCAACCTAATCCTAGCTCACCAGAATTAAGCGCTAGAGTATGACCCAGGAGCGACCCGCCTAAGTGAAAATTTTCCTC